CGATGGTCGATGGACATTCATAAGGAAATCTGCCTTACTGACAACTGAATTCGGTAAACGGTCTTTTGGAAGTCGGTGTTATCGACTTCGTGTTCCTACATTACCAACACTTATTATTTAACATTTAGTTAATATAAAAATTATTATTGGCACTAATCTTTATTTAAATAATTGCTGCAAATAACAATATTATAAATCTTATTTCTTTTTTCTATTCAAGGAGAAACCTTGACAATTAATAATAATTAATAAAATAAATAATTAATAACATTTAATAAAGGGTAATAATGTTAGCTTGCACATAGGAATTACATTGTCGTGATAAAGGCACACGTGCAATGAAAGGAAATCTATTAGCTCAAGTATAAAACGCACGTGCAGTTCCGAGAATCTCTAACTGATAGTAACTTAATACSATCCTCTYTTYGGAGAATTYACGCTTGATTGTAACCTATATTTTTCTAAAACAAAATAATAATTATCTCTTTTTAATAATACATACTTATACGTTTTGTGCCTAAGGGTCTCTCTTTCTCTAAGAAAGACACAGACAACTCTATACGATTTGTCTCTATTATACGTTAAACAAGAGAAGTCTTTTTCAAGATACTTTTTTTATTTAGTTGGCTAGGAAGATAGACTTCTCCATTATTTTGTGTGTTCAATTGTGTAATTTTATATAAGAATATACTTTAGTTATACCTGTGATATTGTGTTATTGTGTATACCTGTGATATTGATTTGTCTGTGATATACCCTGTCTATTGGATAAAACCCATATTACACTACAATCCTGCGACTGTTTAATCAACATAATCGATTCAGAAGCTTTTATGTCCTTGCATTATCGGGAGTTAGCACAATTCGATCCAGAGCTCATCTTGATACTTTAACAAAGGTAAGTACACCTTATTCTTTTAGAACTTACTAGTGCTGGCGCTTCTAGCCCGGATCCCTGGCAAAGTACCGGCTCTACGGACTAACCAAAATTAGGGCAAATTTTGTGGGGTTGTTCATTTAATTGCGGGAACGTCACATAAAAGAAAACTGGTAGCAGCGGTGTGATCGGCAAAAGGAGAGTTAGCTTCTCAAATTTAACTTTTACCTCTTTTTTAAATTTTTTCTCTGCATTTCGGGATTCTTTAACTTTTGTTCCGTAACTTTATTTTGCAAAATTTAAAATGTCGCAAAAACAGAGAAGAGTTAGACCGGACACACCAGTCTCTTCGAAAGCCGTTATAGAACAAACGTCTAGGTTTGGCGACATGGATTCAATAATGCGTAAGAGAATAGAGAAAACTTATGATATTCGAGATGTACTTACCAAAACGCAGGAAGAGAACTTTAGGAAACAAGAGGAACTTAATAAGCGGGAACTTGAAATGGAAATAGGTTGCAAGAGGAAGAAATGAGAAAATCTATAGAAGCCGATTTTTCGGGTTTTCGTGGTTTCGAACGAGCTGATCCTCCGGTGGACTGTCCAGTTCCATTACCTATTACTCCCGGTTCCTCGCGACCTATTTCTCTAAATACGGCTCCCAGACGGAGAACAATAAAAACGCTTTCCGAAAGGAAAAGCGAATTAAAAAGGGAAATCGAAGATTTAGGTCGGGAAATTAGAGAAATGAGGACGATAACTCGATTCGCTTCTCTTCCCCATTTGTCACAATCTTCGTTTAAATAAAGGGAACTCATAGAACATGTCCCGAATTTTGATGGACAAAACGTTTCCGTAAAACAGTATACTAGGGCGTGTCGACGCGCATTTGAATCTTTGCCGGCGAATTTTTCAACCGAAATAGAAACATCTTTAACAAGGCTTCTYCTTTCTAAGCTTAGTGGTCACGCGTACTTGGTAACAGAGGGTCTTAGAATTAGTAAAGTAGAACACATTATAGAGAGATTGAAAGACGCGTTTCTGCCTTTACGCGGATCCAACTATTATAGGGGAAAAATCGCAACAAAGTTTATAAGGCCGGGCGAACATATACTCGATTATTTCAGTAGAATAAAAGAGTTYACTCAATCGGTTCTTGATGAAACAACGAAAAACTCAGAGCATGTAGAAAGCCGGGTCGAATTAGCAATTGAAAGAAAGGGACTAGATGCGCTCGTTAGGGGCCTACCTCGTGATTATAAGGCAGATTTGAAATTGGAATATTATAATAATTTTTATGAGATCCTAATCTTCCTCATAAAAATAGACAAGCAAATAAGGGAGGAAGATAGTAAGATGGGCATTTTTAGGTTCGACAGGCAAATTAAAGACGATAAAAAAAGAAACGCCTCTCCTACATTTGGAAGCCGCGTGGCTAATATTCGGCAAATTAAAAAAAACATAGTTTGCAAACACTGTCACAAACCTGGACATAAAGAAGGTTACTGTTTTAGAAAAGCGGTATGCGACTACTGTCAAAAACAAGGCAACACGTACGGTAGATGTTTTAAAAAGAGGCAAGATAATTCAAGTAAGTCCGGTCAAACCTCTCCGAACAATTCAAAATCTCAAACAAAAACGGGATATAAAAGTCCAAAAAAATGCTCCTATTGTAGGAACTTGGGACACATAATATTTGACTGTCGAAAGTTAATGTACCAATTAGAAAAAAGGAATCAGGGAAACAGGGTAAGGGGAACGACGGACGACGCTCGTCGCTCTTCGACACCAAACAGCGTCCACAAAGTCCGAATCCGAAAGCGGGCCCGTCGAAGTCAAACACATAACAGAAAACAATATTTAGACGGCTTCATGTGTCACTGCGGCTTCTCCACGATTAAGAGAAGCAGTGACACTTACGATAGACACAGGCGCGGACATTATTTTGATAAAAATAGAAAAACTAGCTAAAAGGACAATTATTAACACAAAAAGAATAGTGCAACTAACAAGTATCTCTCCCGACAAACAAAAAACATTAGTTAATGTCGAACTAATTATTTTCGAAGAGAAGACCACATTTCACGTGGTAGACGACCACTTCTCTATTTCTGCGGATGGAATACTAGGCAACGAGTTCCTTCGTTCCACTCCGACAAATATTGACTATATCAGGGGAGTGCTTATAGTAAAAAATAGGAAGGTTCCATTTACGGTTGACGGCAAAGTTAGTGTTCCACCTAGAACTTCAAAGGTGATTTTTTGCCACGTTGTAAGCGCCGATGTTAAAGACGGTTATATTCCGCGAATACAGCTTCCAAAGAGAGTTTATGCCGGCAAAGCACTTGTGGGGAACGTAGATGGAAGGGCCTATTTCAGACTTATTAATACAACTTCGAGATTTGTTTCACTACAAATTCCAAAATTGGAACTTTTGGCATATAATATAGGAACTCTTCCAAGTTTACCATGTGACTTCTATAAATCCACATCCGAAGTTAAAAATTTAAACGAATGCTTGCACACTCTTTATAATATCTCTGAATCCCCTTGCGCTGATCCAAATAAAACAAGCGAAAGTCAAGAATCTCCCAAACCTCCAACCTTCTCCAGACCAGACTCTGTAAAAGCACTTCTTCGCCTTGATCATTTAAACACAGAAGATGCAGAATTCGTTTCTAAATTACTAGACAAAAACGCAGATATTTTTCATCTTCCTGGCGAACGTCTTAGTTGCATTGATCTTTTACAACATCGAATAGTTACTACCGATGACAGTCCGGTGCACACCAGACAATATAGATTTCCGCCAATTCATAAGGAAGAAGTAAAGGAACAAACCTCGGACTTGCTCAAAGATTGCATAATTAAACCATCTCTTTCACCCTATAATTCACCCATTTGGATAGTGCTGAAAAAGTCGGACTCAAAGGGTAACCCAAAGTGGCGGATGGTGATCGATTATAGAAATCTTAACGAAAAAACGGTAGGAGTCGCGTATTCTATACCAAATATCACGACGATACTTGACCAACTCGGCGCAGCAAAATATTTTTCTATTTTTGACCTGAAATCCGGATTTCATCAAATCGAAATGCACTTGGATGACCGCGCGAAGACAGCTTTCTCGACCCCGCAGGGTCATTATGAATTTAATAGAATGCCATTTGGTTTAAAAAACGCTCCAGCAACCTTTCAGAGGTTGAGGGACCATGTCTTGACCGGTTTACAAGGCGAGGAGATGTTTGTATATTTGGACGACGTGGTTCTTTACGCGAGATCACTCAGTGAGCATCAAACATAATTTAATAAACTCGCGCAATGTCTTCGTATAGCAAATCTAAAACTTCAGCCCAATAAATGTGAATTCCTCAGAGGAGAGGTGGTTTATTTGGGCCATATTATAGGAAAAGACGGCGTTAAGCCTGACCCAAGACAATTAGAGGCAGTAAAAGACTTTCCGCGTCCAGACAACGGTAAATCGATTCGCCAATTTTTAGGTCTGGCTGGATATTATAGAAGATTATTACCAGCTTTCTTAAAAGTAGCAAAGCCTCTCACAGATTTACTAAAAAAAGGGGTTTTATATAGATAGGAATCCAGCCAGGAAAACGCATTTTGCTCACTGCGTGATGCCTTGTGCAGAGAACCCATTCTGCAATATCCAAATTTCTCCCTGCCTTTTAATGTCACAACGGACGCATCCAGTTATGCAATCGGCGCCGTGATAAGTCAAGGCCCCGTTGGTAGGGATTTACCCATCTCCTATTGCTCGCGAATTCTGAATAAAGCTAAAATGAATTATTCTACTATTGAAAGAGAGTTATTGGCAATAGTTTTCGCTACAAACTATTTTAGGCAATATTTATACGGTCGAGAGTTCTATCTTATAACTGATCACAAACCACTAGTTTAGCTAAAATCGGTAAAAGACATGACATCAAGATTAGTAAAGTGGAGTCTAAAATTAGCTGAGTGTACGTTCAAAATTATTTATAAATCAAGAACTACAAATGCTAACGCTGACGCTCTATCATGAAATCCAACATAATCTAAAAGAGTATTTTCTATAAACACATGTGATTCTGATAAGAGTATTTTTCACTTTGAAACTAAGAACACAATGACAGATAATGAGGACAGTGACCCCGACGTAACAGCTGACGGCACGGGCGACCTCGACAACGCGTCATGGTTAGCAACACCAGCACTAGAAGACGAAAATACAGCCGTTGAAAGCTGTAGTGACTACAAACGACTACACTCTCCACATACACAATCAAAAATAAACAATAATATAATAATGATAACAAGAAATGTAGGAGTCTCACGATACTCTCTACAATTAAGGCATGATAATATTGTAATATTCACCGATTTAAACGGCACACCGTGCGATACTGGTGCTAAACTATTAGAACAAATAAAACTTATTTCGCACGTAAAAGATATAACTTTAGCTAGTGCCAAGGTAAATAACATAGGCAAAAATAAATTATCAATTATCCCTATAAAGGAAAACATCGCAAACAGCACAAAATTAAAAACGATATACGAGGCAATTGGTTCCTTGCTCTCGGTAGTAAGAGAGCTTAACTTAAAATCCGTTAGCATCGCCAAGACACAATGCTTGAACGGCATATTATGGCCTCGAATTCAAAAGAAATTATGTAACACGTTTGATTCAGAAAAATGCTGTATTACTATCTGTTTAAACCAAATCTTAGTTCCTATGTTAGAACTGCGGGAAGAAATCCTTGCCGAATGCAACTCCTCGCCTATTAGTAGGCACAAAGGCGTCACAAAAACGTATAATAAAATTCGACATAAATATCATTGGCCCAATTTGAAAAAGGACATTCGTGGTTTTATTAAAAATTGTAAAAGTTGTCAGTTAAAGAAGTTAGTAAGAGTAAAGTCCAAAGAGCGAATGATACTTACTGATACACCGGGAGCRGCGTTCGACAAAATATCCGTGGACATGGTCGGGCAACTCCCTGAAACGAAATCAGGAAATAGATATATTCTCAAAATACAAGACGCACTTACTAAATATTTTATTGCAACGCCATTAAAGACAAATACGTCTATAGATATTGCCGAAGGATTAGTCTATAATGTTTGCAATGTTTTCGGGGCACCACGATCCATATTGACTGACCAGGGAGCGAACTTTACTAGTTCACTTTTAAAGGCAATAGCCAAAAAATATAATCTAAAACAAATAAGAACAACAACGTTTCATCCTTAGTCAAATAGATCCCTAGAAAGATCTCATATTVTATTAATAAAATATTTAAAACACTATATAAATAAAARKAGCGAGTAGGATAAATGGTTAAAACACTCCATGTTCGCATATAACACCAGTACGCACGAGGGAACCAGGTTAACCCCTCATGAATTGATATTTGCAAAACAAGCTAATATCCCCTCTGCCGACGTACATACTAATGTAGCTTTAGACAACACATATTCAGAATATAAATTTAGATTTGGTTAATAAAATAAAAAAGCCTAAGAACATTGCAAGACGGAAACTGGTAGGAGCTAAAATCAGATCAAAATATTACTACGATCAAAGTGCTCGGGGTCAGAACYTAAATGTTKGCCAATACATATATCTTTTAAAGGAACCAACGACAAAACTTGGCAGTCAATACACTGGCCGCCACCAGATTCTAGAACTGCTACCTAATAACAATATTAAGATTTACTATAAGAATAAAAGTAGAATCGTTCACAAAAATTAGGTCAAGATTGCTAAAGACTAATAAAATAAATATCTTTTGTTTACGTATAAAAATGAAGACGATATTGGGTTTCCTTGTCATTTACTGCCTTACTGTCTTGTCCGCATTACTTGGCTACGATTGCGGAGGCACGGCGGCAAATACCACCACGGTTTCATTACTGGAGGCAAGAGAGTGCGACCTCCCTAACACAACTGTCAACAAAACGCAGACATACGAGCAACTGCTACAATTAATAGACTACGATTATACCATGGTGTTTCAGTGCAGGGTAGAAATTGACAGAACAATATATTATTGCGGGATGAGTTYGCACATCTCAGCTGTGCATAATGGTCGACACGTGTACTTGCTTGAAGTCTCACGTGAAGTGTGTGGTTCAATTATCAGGACGGGAACATTTTCATTGAATTCCTTCACCCAAATAAGTGGTCTATAAATCAATGCAACT